TCTGATCAGTTTTGTAAAACAATTTGATTGTATTTATTAATGTAAAATACTCATTTTATTAAATGATGAATTTAAGATTTTGTGAAATTGTAAAGAACAGAGTTTTGAAAAGTCCATGTAACGGAATCGGATCCAGGTGAGATACGGGTTGGGGGTGTTACATTTAATGATATCATAGTTAAGGTTTAGCTGATTCTAGGCTTAAACTGAAGTTAAACGAGTTTTAAAATGGTATACATGCCAACATAAAGTGAAAATTTATGATCTAATACTTTAAGGAGTGTAATGTCTTGTTAATAGAATTAGATTGATATGTTATAATAGAAGTATGATAATGAGAGTTTTGAAAGAAGTGAAAGGTGATAGACCTGATGGTGATAGCAATTCACCTGCCCTGGCCAGGTAGGATGAAGAACAAACACCTCAGGAAGTGCCTCGTAAGATCAAATGTTGATTTCAGAAAGTTGAAATCATATCAGAATAGTGATAGAAGGTCTTCACTGTTTTGAATAGGAAAAGTGATATGGAGTAGTTTTGTTATTACGTGGATAAGATAGAATATGGTGAACAAGTGTTACCATAAGAAAGTTAAAGGATTTTCACTGTTCTGAAGTGGAGAAGTTAGATGAAGTAGTTTAGTTATTATGTGAACGAGTCGAAGTATAGTGAACATATATTATCATGAGAATGATAGAAGATTCAGTGATGCGGTTATTAGTTCAGAAAAGTTCGATAATAAGTATCTCGGTGACAAGTTTATCAGATATATGAAGCCGAAATCGTAATGTGTATGAAAAAGAGTACAGTTTGATAAGTAGAGTGAAATGTTGTGAAACTAATTTAAATGAAAATGACGTAGATATTGTTTGGAAGAGTTTAAGAATAGATACATCAGTGATCAGTTTGTAAGACAAAGGAAGTTGGAATGTTGAGTTGAATTAAGAAAAATGTATGGTGTATGAGTAAGTGATGGATTAATTCTGACTGTAAAGAATATATAAGAATGTTTTGAGGAAGGTTTATGTTTTAGATTGGAAGAACTGGTGCTGACTAACAAGGTTGTGTATATGGTAAGAAGATTTGAAGAGTGAAGGAAATAAGGATTCATATGTTTGAAGTAAGTTAAGGATTGATAGAAAAGTTTAAGATAATAAAAGGGATATGTGTATTGTGATCCGAATAAGGATTTTGCAAAGAATAAGGTTTATGCAAGTAATGATAACTATCAGAGTTATAAAATATGATAAAGATTGGTGATCAGGGATAAGTATAAACGATATGAAAATAGTATATAAGTATGAAGGAATAGATATGATCAATGTTATAATGAGATTTTGATTTCTTGAAGAATAGTTAAATAGAAATTTAAAGACTAAGTTTAAAGGATCAACTGTGACAAGGCTATATTGAAGTGTATGTTATAAGTTCGATATAGAAATAAGAAAAGTGTGCAAGGGTGATGTGAAAAGATTTTTTTATTCCATAAAGTATATATTTAATCATATATGATGAAGGAAATCAATTGATTTATGATCTTGAGTAGTAAGAATGCATGTTACTGTTTATAGGATAAGTGACATGATATGGAGTTCCAGCGGTCAAAGGTAAATGTACAATCGAAGAAAAGAAAAGATAGAAATGGATTGGGTTCTTTGGAAATTGAAGGTAAATCATTGATTGCAATTGTGAAAGGATAAAGTAGAGAAAACAACATGAGAACACTAGAAGATTTGTAATATCCCGAAATTGGGGCTAGTGACTAAAATAGAAATTTTGAATTTTTAAGGTCTGATTTTGAAAGATTGAAAAGTTTAAGGACTAAATTGGTAATATTTAGTGGATTATTGTTTAGTAAATATTAAATGAAGTAAGGGGTAAAATGGTTTTTTCTAAGGAATGATTTTATTTCTCCCTTTATATAGAAGAGCAACACGTAGGAAATGAGAGAATTTCTCCAAAGTCTTCTTCAGTTTTCTTCTTCCTTTCCACCGTGGGTTATTGCATAAGGTAATTTTGTCTCTAGTTAAGAATTTCTTTCATTTTAAAGTTGGATTTTATTCTTGGGATAGTAAGAAAGCTTAAGTAAAGCTTAAGGTAGCTTAAAACTCTAAAATAATTAAGTTAGAAAGGATTAAAGATGATATGTTTTATAAGTGAAATCTTGGAATAGAGTTAGTAATTGAAGCTGGAAGTGAAATTTGACTTATCAAGGATCTAACTAAGAAATTAGGAGTGTTAGAAATGAATTTAGAACATGTTGATTTATTAGCTTAATTATTGAATTCAAGTGTGTTTGTAGGATACTAGAGATTAGGATGAATTAAAGTGATATAAGTTGATTTGAATAAGTATAGTTAAGTCTCAAGGGTTAAAAGGAGGTCATGGAAGCAAAATTAAGTGAGTTTGGTATGATTTTCGGGCTTAAAAAGGATAGTCTGGACAAGGGGTATCGGTGCCTGTTAGAAACGAATTTAGAACATGTTGATTTAAGCTTAATTATTGAATTCAAGTGTGTTTGTAGGATAGTGATATAAGTTGATTTAAATAAGTATAGTTAAGTCTCAAGGGTTAAAAAGAGGTTATGGAAGCAAAATTAAGTGAGTTTGGTACGATTTTCGGGCTTAAAAATGATAGTCTGGACAAGGGGTATCGGTACCTGTTGAGTGTGTACCAATACTACAAGGCCATTTTCGAGGATGTGATGCAAGGGTTATCGGTACATGTATGAACAATATCGATACCATATGGATGAAGTATCGATACTTATGTGGAGGGTATCGATACATGGGGAATTCGAAGCAAATTTTGGTGTCGGTACCTGGATAGGGTATCAGTACCCTAGCTCAGAGGAATCAGTACCTTAAGCGTGGTACCGATACCACTTAAGTTGGAAAGTGGAAATTGGGGTTTTAATTAGTTTACATTGATATGAATTATATCAAGTAAATTGAATCTCGATATTTATTGGATTGTGTAGATATCGATCAAGAGTGACATCCGGACAAGTCGACAAGAAATAGTCATCGAGGAAAAGAAGTAAGAGATAGGTATTGACTAGTGAGGTCAGGTGAGTGCATATTAGTTGATATATGATGTTTAAGGGAAATAAGACTTGTGATGAGTCTATTTCCTATAGTATTATGCATGAATTCAGGAACATGAACACATGTTTGTTATTAGTGCATGAGTTATATGTTATTGTATGAATATATGCTAGTGTGATAAGACATAGGAACCAGTATAAGTGACATATATGTTTATATAAGTTATATGATATTGACATAATGATTGATATGAATATGTGATATATGTAAATAAGAGATTAAATGAATGAACATAGATGATATATATGTAGATGATATGAGTTATATAGGAAGTATATGTGAATAAGATATGACATATATGTTTATGTGAAACAGTACAAATGATCTACATGTATATGTGAATATGTTATATATATGATATACGTGAAACATATGTGAACAAGAGATGGAAATGATATACATGTTATATGAACACATGAGATGTGTTATAAGATAAATGATATATGAATATGAAATCATATGAACAGTGATATGTACACGTGAATATGTAAAATGATAAATAATAATGTCCATGTTATATGTCATGAGGGCTAGAGGTATAGTTGGCATGGTAAGAGTCGAGGGTTCTACGTGGTCCTTCGGGACATGATGGTCCTTCGGGACATTTCATAGTGGTATTTCGGGACAAATTCATATGCCCCTAGTGGGACCTTATACGAGCTATGGTGACAACATAGTGCACAACCTTTATGTCCTCGCATATCTATAGTTCTAACATGTGTACGTGGGTTAATAAAAAAGATAACCCTGAATACAATGTATATAATATATATGATGTGTGATATGAATTGTATGACATGATATATATGTGTTATGGGTTATTGCATCTATTATATGATATACATGAATATATATTAATGTATATGTGAATGAGTAGAAATGACTTATATGATGATATAAAAATTTGTTATAAGCTATAGTATATGAACATAAGAGATCATAGGAACAAGAGAATAGAGATATGAAGGATAATAGTATAGGAGCATGTCAAAAACATAAATGATGACATGTATGTGTGTATGTATGTAATTGTTGCATGAAAAAGTATATGAGTTGTATGATATGATAACATAAAATATTCATGAATAGTTAATGGATATAAATTTCATTAGATATGTTTTTATGCCTCACTAACTCATCGACTTAGCGTGTGAATGTTTCACACGTAGGTTTGGAAAGCAAGAAGAGAATTAAAGAGGAGCAAGACAGGTCAACATCTTCCTTACGAGGATCAGATCAGAAACATATGGAATATATGTATTTTGTTTTATAGAATTTAGTTGGCATATAGTTACAAGATTTGAATTGAATATGCTCTGATCGGTTTTGTAAAACAATTTGATTGTATTTATTAATGTAAAATACTCATTTTATTAAATGATGAATTTAAGATTTTGTGAAATTATAAAGAACAGAGTTTTGAAAAGTCAATGTGACACCTCGGACTCGGATCCAGGTCGGATACAGGTTGGGGTGTTACAGAGGGGGTCTTCTTGAAGTAATTGTCGAAGGGATTTGATGTCTCCTTCCATGGCTGCATTTGATAATCTTTACTCCATTTTTGTTGCCTTTTCTCCATTCTTTACAGACTCAATTATCAAAGGTCAATGTATGATAAAAAGCCGCCGATGATAGTGGGAACTGACCGGAAAAACAAGAAGTGGGAAGTGGCTTACATTGATAACGATGATGCTATGGTCAAAGGTTTGAGTGTGTTTGGGATTTTTGTCGTGGCACTGAGATAGGATGGGACCTTAGAAGCTTCTATTTTTAAATATCAAAACAATAATTTAAGTTCGAATATTATAAATAAAAAATAATAATCTTATTTAATAAAATTAGCAATTATTATTATATAAATATATATTTAAACAAGAATAGGAATCTTCTGCGTTACACGGTTGACATAAACAACATCCATAACAATTAAGAACCAAGTCAGGTATCACTGCTAAAATTCCAAGCCAAACTCTTTTCAGCAGAATCTTAAAACAGATGTTCTTAAGACACCTTACAGTTACACAACATGCATGAAATTTAGTTGAAATGATGATATAATAGATAATATAAAAGCCAAGGATGAGTTGCCGACTTCATTGGCCCGGTTTCTCACAGGACAACTGAAGCATAGTGTTGGATTCCATTACACATGCTGCTCACGCCAGGAGAGATGTCCATGAATCCGTGTTTTGGTCGCTGGAAATTTCCATTGTTGTTGGAGACGCTTGAGATGTCTGAGCAGCTTGTACTCAAACCGCTGCAATCTGCCGCACACAAATGGCTCTCAAGTTCTGATCCACTTTTCATTCGGTCTGAGCAGCTGGCATTGGAGATAGAAAGGGAACTTGTGTTGAAAGTTGGGCCAGGAGGGTGTTGAAGCTTCTGCTTGCTAAGAAAACGTCCACCGGATCCCCGAACCCTGTTCAATGCATGGCGATGTCGAGATTCATGAAGATATGGCTGCATTTAATTCAGACAAAAGCAGTCAAAGGCCCCGAAAAAATGTTGCCATTACTAGTTCATATTTAATATCACTGCTAAAGCTGCACTTATATCATTTGATCCTTCATTTCCAAAATGTATACTCCATACCACTAAACATTGTTATAAATTGAAACAAATTCCAAAACGAATTCTACGTATATACCTTTCGAGATTTGATAAGTTTGTTTTGTGCCTCGAGCTTTGCACGATACCGCCTCCTTCTAAGAATCCCGTTATATTGTTTTGCATTGACATAAACGGGGCCATCTTCAGCAAGATCAAGTGGTAGCAGAATCCGTGCTGGTGCACTTCCTCCTTCCGTCTGGGCCTCAATCTGGTCAAGTTTAAGATAAAGTTGCATTACAAGAAGAAAAATGGTAACATGGAAGATTCTATGGTAAACAAGTTCAAAACTTAGACCGATACTACAGGAGCAGGGTCGATGATTGAAGAAAAGAATTCGAGCTTCTCTAAGCTATCCGACCCACAGCTAAGAAACATGTTGTTGATAAACAGCATACCGTAAAAACATCGTATTAAAGCAATCAAGATGCCAATGATTCATAGAATTGAAAATAAGCACAGTAACAAGTACTGCAGCAAGGCAGAATAACTTGGAAAATCTTACAATAGCTGGTTGCCCATATGGAGTAAATAGGCCACCAAAGTATGCGTCCGCATAAGGATTTTGAGCAGGAGCCTGAAACAGGACGAGGATTATTAATTTAAAGCGAAGCCAACAAAATGAACTTGACAGTGACTGCTAAACATGTTCATCGTACCATTGAATGGTTATTGTTCGGATTGGAAGGGCTGAACATGGTGTTCGGATTGTTAATCAAGAAAACCGGCTTCATTTGATCCTCTACGTCCTTCCCACAACTCTTAGCTTGACCTGATGCGTGAGGAAAAGATTATGATATCAGGCAAACATTGTTCAACTTGTTAAACTCGACAACACGCTTCCCTCTTCAATAGACTATCTAGTGGATCCTTTTCAGCACATTCGGGAACTAAGGAAAAGCACATTAATGCATCGACTACGATAAAAGAAAGAATGTTAATCGCCAATAACAAGACTCCTAATTGCGGAACTTGAAGGAACTAACTATGAGAATTAGGACATTGCTAATAGATAGATACTCACCAGCAGTTCAATAACTAGTGAACCGGGAGGAGTAAAGTAATAGAGAATAGAAAATTCTTAATGAATTAAACTTCCAGAAGCATCAATACCAGATTCAGATGAATAGAACGGAGAATTAGACCCTCTTGTCACACCAATTTCTGGAAAAGATTGACCAATCACTTGAGCTGAGTTTGAATCTTGGTCTGGCATTTGAGGTTCTAGATGCTTTGATTTATGAAGTTTGAAGGGACTTTCCTCCTTCAGGCTAATGTTTTGGGGTAAAAACAGTGCAATTTCTCTTTCATTTGAGTTCCACCATGGTTGCAAACCAGCAGATACATGGGATACCGAATGAACGGACCTTTCATCAAAGTTTTTCTTTGACAAGTTTTGAACCCAGGCAGCCATATAACTATCCGAGACGATCCTTATCAACAAACAGATCCTATTTGCCGCGCTCCAATGTCAACTACTAAAAGAGAGAAATATATGTAACGAGCAGTGGATGTCTAAGTGATACTCAAAATTTGCAATAATAAAACCAAACCAACCATTCTGAAGAAATAAAGTAGATGGATCATGGAACATTAAAAACACAAGCTTAGCACATAACCAGAATCACAAGTTATATTCAGAATGTAACATTTTGTAACTTTTTAACATTGGATGAAAATTCAGACCAGAAGAACAACAATGCAAAAGGTGGTTGATCCGGTGATCCTTTGCTACGGGTCATATTTCACAAAACCATCAAATTTTTAGGCGAAAAATATTAACTAATACATGTATTAAGAGCAACCAAGTGCACCTGGCCATCTTTGGAAGGAAAATTGAAGACCAATTCAATAGGCAATCTTGAAGAACTAGTAGAATAAGTAATTGAAAGGCAGCAGTTTAGATGCTTATTTAAATCATCAAGAACTCACTCAGGATTAAACACTGGACACATATAATTCATAAGGGATTCAAAAGAAAAACATTTAAGAATACGAACAAGCGAGGAACATAAAGGCTTTTCAAAAAACACATTTCTGAATAATAGAAACAACGGCACCTTATACAAATTCCATGAAGATTGATAGTCAAAACCCAGAATCAAAAACATGAGCAAGAGCTATTGAGCAATTGAAACATGTCAAGGCATCATCATCATTACAAGTCAATTTTCGACAAGCAAACGAACCAGTTTGTGCAGTTAAGGCATGCTCAGAAACTCAACTCTGTAAAACATTTCTGCTCTGCATGCAACAAAAAAGATCTCAGAAAAAGAACCCAGATAATATGCAAGCAGTTTGGCCACAAAGCCTCAAAAGGAAGACAGTTTAATACTCAAGTCTAGACTGCAAATTCAGCAAGGAACCATACACGGTTTATGTATGATGGGGTTTCCATGAATAAAATAACAAAAATACTACAAATCCCAATGAGTTAAAAGAAAACCCTAGCTACCAACATGGGGAGTTTGAACTTTGAAACTTGAAAGAGAGTAAAGCTACACATTCCATGGATTACAAGAATCATGACAGATTTGAGAGCACCACAGAGGAAAATAGCAATCAGCAAAATAAAGAGTACACTTAAATCAGGAAAAAAGAATCCCATGAAGTTAAGAATCAGTAAATTTTAGCTGAAGTAAGGCCAGACCCTTCTGTGGTGAACGAAAAAGAAGAGAGCCGACCAAGAATTATCACATTCCAAGAACAAGGAGAGAAAAGGCCAGGATATTAAAAGAAATCTAAACTGTACAGACAAGATAATGCTTAAAGGTCATGATTATGAATATGAGCCATTCCTCCAACAAGTAAAAACAAACGTATCAAGCAAGAAAAATAATGCACCCAAAGGGAGGAAAAGAGAGCATAAACAACAGTAGCCAACTACTTTACCGAGAGAAAAAAAAAAATCAAACTCACAACTTCTACAAGAAAGCCAACAACTTCATCATCATGTGTTCATAACCAACATGCATTTGAAGTGGGAAAAGGGGAAAAAAACAGGAGATAAAACCAAAAAGAAAAAATTATCCAAAAAAAAACCAAAAAGAAAAAAGTAGTAGTGGTGGTTGAGATAAGATTAAGTTTTGAATAAACAAACAAAAAGTTAGTCAAGGAAAGGACCTATGGGATCTGATGAGGCTTGAAGAAGAAGAAGCAGCAGCAGCAGCAAAGAAGAAATGTTTGTGTTGTCGGAAAGACCCTAGGCATGTCCCCTCCCTTGAAACTCTCCAACTACTCTTCTAGTAGCTTTAATTTCTTTGATCTAATTCTAAAATCCATCCTCTACTATCATTTATTTTAGAGCAAACTGCATAGTACTTAAATTATTATTTTTATTTTGTTTTGGTATCTAAATTTATTTTTTTAAATCATACCTAACGTTTAGTTTAAGTCTCATTTTGGTATCTCGTAATTAAAAACTTAACGATAATGTTAACAATTAACATCTCACCATAAGGTAGTGCCACATTAGTAATTTTGTTAATTTTTTTAACGGCGGGATACTAAATTAAAACCTAAATTAAATGTTAGGTATGATATTAAATAAAATAAAGTTTAGATACTAAAATGAAATAAAGTAATAATTAGATACTAAACATATAATTTACCCTTATTTTAATTTACCAGAATTTGGTCTCTCAACTCTGTAAAGGAGGAGTTCATTCAATTAATACTATTATCAAAATTGTGGTTAATTCATTGATTTGAAAATTACTATTCAATAATTTGTTTGTATATAGAATTTTAAAAAAATCAATAAATCCACAAATTTAATTAAAAGTGACAAAATCACCTGTTCGATTCACACGTTTACCAGTAATTTGATTAATTTTTCCAACTTTTATAAGGTGTGAGGATCAAATTAACAAGCTAAAATAGAGACTAAAGTTCGAGTTTTCATAAAAGTAGAAGGATGATATTCATAATTAGACCTTAACTTTTTTTTATCTTGTATGGACACCGCTCCTCCCTTTGGGTTCTCGCGTAACTCTATTTTATTGCAATCAGCCGTCCTTCACTGTCGATATTCATGTCTCTTCTGAGGTGGGTATCTTGTTTGTAATTTGTTTAGTGTTATTATGGTTCTTCCTATTTTTGTTTAAAATAATAATTGAATTAAATCAAATTAAAATATTTAATAAATTTTATTTATTTAAAACTAAACAATTTAATCTTTTGATATTTGGTCTTAATATTATAATTTTAAATCATTTTAAGTATTATAAATTGTTATATCTATAATTAATATATGTTAACAAACTCAAAAGAAAATTCATCAATATCTCAACCACCACCAGAGATCAACGGTTATAATTTTTCCTCATAAAAATATTTCATGAGGGTTGAGCTGTCCCTTTATCATATAGTTGTACAATGTCAGAAATCAAAGGATTATTTTAATTTTAAAGATTGAAAAAATAATTAAGAACACAAACTCAAAAGAAAATTCATCAATATCTCAACCACCACCAGAGATCAACGGTTATAATTTTCCTCATAAAAATATTTCATGAGGGTTGAGCTGTCCCTTTATCATATAGTTGTACAATGTCAGAAATCAAAGGATTATTTTAATTTTAAAGATTGAAAAAATAATTAAGAACATAAGGGTTTACCAAAAAAGTGAGAAAAACATACAATAAACTAAGTACTGAACTGGAGTATATATCAAACAGTTTAATGGAACATATCTGAGGATTTAATGCAACTATCAACTGTGCTCTAACCTAATGCCATTTTCTTACACCACATTTGCTAAGGTAGATGAGGGCTTGTTCAAGCTAAAATCACACAACAACAATTCCCAGGCAAGATGACCCGCTGTCGAGGGAGCACCGTCTCCGTTGTCACTATAAGAATGAAGAACATAGGCACTAAAGCAAGGAACAGGATTCGTTCGTGGTTTCAATTTCTTAACTAAGTTCACCTATTGACCTTTGAGTGCTCACCTTCCGGAGGTGCTGGTGGAAGCTATAGCTGTAAGTTGATCCTTTCAGCCCATTTCTAGATATCGGAGTAAACATGATCTCCACCCAGTTCTTTGCCGGTGGCCCCTGCTGCTACTCGTAAAACATCCTCAATCAATGCGAAATTCCCCATTATGTCCACATGAGCGCCACTTTGGGTACCTCGGCCTTCGAGAAGATTAGCCGGAGGGGCATGAATGTATTCCCGTATGTAAGTACGAATGCCTGAAGGGTTGAATCTAGTTTTTCCTCACCAACCTTATGCACACATGAAACCAGCACTTAAAACAGGAACTGTTTCATCTCCATCAGCAGAGAAAACGCCTCCTTTAAGACATGAATCTTCACTGCCACCCTCAGCTGAGGTGTCTATCTGAAACGGAATAGAGCAATTTAATTTGTAGACATAAGCTCTTTCTGTGGGGATTCCAACACCGTACATTGAGTAGATCTCCATGTCTGGAGCATTTGGTAACCTGAAAATTTATATTGCACTTGTCAAGTAAACATAAAGAAAGGGAGGAATGAGGAAACTCAAAGGCATGATGATCTGGTCGAAAATAGACAATTCACTAACAACAATAGCTCACAGATGTTAACCGCAAGTCTAGTAATCCTAAGAGGCTAAGCTAACTATGACATTGGCTAAGAATGCAGACTCAACAAATTATAAGATACTATATAATGGTTATTTACATTAATGAATCATTTCACTCCATATAAAGGTTATCTAAAGACACGTTCAATTAATTCAAAGTATAATAAAAAATACAATTATTGCACTGAAAAAAAAATAGAATAACCAAGAAAGTAGAAAAACCTCACTTTGTTTCTAAGGGGTTTGACCAATATTTGTAGTGTTGATATTTCGTGTCATCCAAATTATCTGTTATCCCATACGAAAAATGGGCACCTCCCTGTGCCATCAATTTGGGGGCAACAAAATGAAGCAGATCTAAAATTGATCCAGCTGTGTAAACCTTGTTATCAGCAACTGCTTTAATACGATGATTTCCTATTTCATGATACTCGATCCATATATCACAGTTGGTTGTTAAGTTGGGCAGCTTAACACTCTTCACAGCATCCTGCTGATCAACAATAATCATATGAACTTCAGGTTATGAACTAGCAAACCAAATATCTCCTAGCATGCAAAACCAGAAAGCACAATGTATAATGACCATCCCCTCGTAAATGCATTTTAATGGATAAAATTTTCCAGAAGGGCATGCTTGCATTTGACATAGGAGGGTGTTGAAACTTGAAGGTTCAGGGGATGGTTAGAGATAGAGAGATGGTCCTTTTACTTAAGCAAAATAACTTGATGATAGCTAGGACAGTACCTGGAAATCATCCCTCTTGATCTTGGAAGAATGTGCCTCAGCCACATCTTTCCCAAATGAAATAATTCTCCCATAATTCACACTTTTCACATTATCTTCCAAATTGATGTTTGCATTTTGAACCATGCCATTGATGCTGTTGTTCCTCAACCTTTTTGCACCACATTTAAAGCTTGCTCCTTCAGGTGACCAATCAAGTCCACCCCAGATGGTGTCCCCACCTTTTGGTATCATTGACATGGTGGAATCCCATGTACGGGTCATCCGCATTAAATGCTGGAAAGTTTGCAGACCAAATACATCTTTGTCCAGAAAACCTGGTGCGAAAGCCCTATTTAACAATTAGCATTTCATCAAGCTCCCAAGACAAAGTAAACATGCAAATATTCATACTATCTGACAACTACCTTATGTTTGCAAAGAGTGAAATGAAACATGTTGATATGGTTTAAGGTGAAACAGCATGCTTGAAAGCATGATAGCACCACTATGAAAAGAAACTATTTCCAAGGTTCACGGAATATAGAATCAAAACTGACTACAACAATCGCTTGCTTGAAATGACTGCTCATAAGAAAATGACAAAAGAGAGGCCACATGTTGAGGCAGTAATGCAAATTGAACAATGATGCATATTTTAGTGATACCTTAACATTGATCTAACCTTTTACTTTGTTCACTCAAGAACTAATAACAATACTATCAGAATAGAAGCCATTAGAAAAGCCAGATTTATTACTGGTTTAAGAAATGCAAAAACATTATTTTTTGTAAAATTAACGCCATAAAAGCAAAGCATTAGAAAAGTTAGCTCTCCATAACAGGAACATTTTTCCATGCACATGATCTGGGGTGACATGCTTAAGGGAACACTTCATCAACGCAACAGTAATTCTGGGAAACCATTGTGTCATAAATAGCATCATATATGAGGCCAATTCATTGGTTTGAAATGTAGAAATATGACAACTACAACCCTAGCAAGACAAGAAATACATCTTTGTTCATAAAATAGTAATTCAAAGAAGTACCTGGCAACGGCTATATCCCTGCCTTCAACAGAAAATAGTTCTGAGACCGATTTTGGGGCACCTAAAAAGGGTCCACCGATGTTCATTACTGCCATTATGTGCTTCACACGCCAATCTGATCCACCCCCCACCACCCATGGGAGCTGGTGTTTCGACCCATTTCATGAAGTGCAGAAAGTACAGGACACCCATTGAGTGCGGAATTACTACAACCTTTTTCCCACCATTTGTTGCTACCATCAGTTCTATGTTACTTTTCATTCTGCTCAAAGTTTGGTCCCTGACCTGATTTATTCAAATAGACATGAAGTAATAAGATAATTTCAGGGAGCTATAGCATAATGCTATTTTCAAATCATAAACACAAAAGAAAAACATCAAAAGTATGCAAACACACACACACACATACACAAATACATATAAATGTTAGGAAAAACTTATTTAGCAGAAACTTTGGGATGAATATGAAATCTCAAAACAAGTGCATAC